GAGGGAGGGGGCAAATATTCATATATTCGTGTTCACATACCATAAAAACAATTGATTTCAAAAGAAATTAATAAAGCAGAACATGAATATATGAATATGTGCCCCCTCAATTATCGTTCTGGCTACGGCATTGCGCTGTTTTCTTTAGTGCAAGAACAGAGTCAACATCAACCAAAAGTAATTTAATTTCTCGAGGAACATATAACTTATCAAGTCTTTTAAAAATAAATGAAACTCAAGTATAAAGGTTACTATAGTATACCCCTGTCGCAATATTGCTATTCCAACACTTCACGACAAGCAATAACCGTTGGCATAACGGCAATTAAAAATATCTCTTCCTATAAGTAAACAATACACAATCTGTTCTTGTTCCATTTTTAATCGAAAAAAGTGTTCAGATCCAATTTTAAGCTTATCGAGAGACTTTGTGATGAATCCATAGATATCTTATATACACTAGATAGCGCATCTCTTTTATTAAAATTGAAGCCAAGAATATTCCAGCGGTTACCCCCATTTGAAAAGATGGCGGCCATATTGGTCGTTCCCACTTGCTAATAAACGCTTAAAATCAACAATAACTTTCATCATTTGAATAGTTTAAAAACGTATTTGGAATAGGGTTAACTTAGTGTTTAAGTTCCCTGTTTAAGAAATAGAAAACACACGAATCTTCTCATTTCATGGGAACGACCTGAGACTGCAATCACGGCTTCAATTTTTGAATTGTAGAATAATTAGATGCACTATCTAGTGTATATAAGATATCTATGGATGAATCACTGATCAAATTATAGAATCCAACATCAAACAGCCAATCAGAATACTGCGTTCGTGGGTGAACGCGGAAAGTACATTATACCTGGTCTTGTTTGCAGGCCCACTATTCTTCCCTCGGTGGGCATGCACGCGGGCTACAATTTTTTAGGAAATTTTCACACGCCTCCCGGTCTTAAATGGTAATTTTTAATTTAAGTTCCGTTTCTTTTTTGTTTTTAAATGTTAAAATCTTTTTATTCATGTCCAAACCGCCCGCCTAGTGTATTTATTTGTTTGTTTCAATTACTTTAAATCATTAAATAGCCATGTTTTTGTTTACAATTTGGCATTTAAATTCCTCGCCATCTTTTTTGTGTCCCACGCATGCGCAGACGTTTTTCAGCGGTGTTATTAGCCATTTTTATTCTGCTGTGTTAATCGATGGTAATTTTGGCAAAAATTATTTTCTAACAGTAACTGATAATGAAAACTTTCGTGAAAATGCACATGTAGGTTTTGATATTTGCAGTGGCTCTGATGCAACATGGCTGGGAATGTCAAAAAACGGCAGAATTGGATTACTGACGAACTACAGGCAAAGTGAAAAATTTATGAAACGTGGTGCAAAACGTCGTGGGAAACTTGTCACGGACTTCCTCAAATCTGGTGATGCCCCTCATAGATACCTGGAAAAGGTGAAAGAAAGTGGAAAAGACTACAAAGGATTCAACTTGATAGTGGGCAATGTTTCGCCTGGAAATCCTAGTAATGAGATGGAGTTTGGATATTACTGCAACCAAGAAAACGAACCGTTTGACAACTTGAAACCTGGTGTGCACGCTCTTAGTAATCGATATTTAGATTACGAATGGAAAAAAGTTAGGTTTGGAAAGGAACGATTCCAGGAAATTATCAAAAGAAAATCGTCAGTGAAAGAGAAAGCTAACTTGCTCATTGAAATGTTACAAGACGAAACAAAGTATGTGTATTTCTAACGAATAGATGTAATCTAATGTAGTACTATCCGATCACATTCCTGATCTTTTTGTAATGTGAAATGGTTATTTTCTATTTTTTATTATATTTCCCTATTGTATTCTGATCGTTTAATTGGCTGTTTATGGTCATGTGAGATTGAATAGAAAATTCCATTTCCCAAGAGTGCAATAGAATACGTAATGTTTTTTCAAATAATAAATGTTTATGATTGCAATGGTAAGAATATTTTCATTCGGTGAAAGATGGAATGTTCCATTCAACTCGGCTGTCGCTTCGTTGAATGGAACATACCATCTTTCACTTCATGAAAATATTCTTACCATTGCACTCATAAACATTCATTATTTGTAGTACTTAATTTAATACCGGCTGAATGTGCATGGAAATATCAACGTCTTGTAAACTCAACAGCTTTTCATACTGTAGGCAATGTTCCATTTTATCAACGAAAGGGCTATTCGTAAACGGCAAGACATAACACAGAACGAACAAGAACGTCGCAGATTAGTGATATTATACGGCATATGATGCCTATAGCACTAATAAAATGTGATTTGCACATCTCTTATAACGTCTGTGCCTGCGTATAGGTGGTGTTTATGATTATGATTATTCATGCAGTGACATATTAGATCACGTATTACGCTTACTTATTAAGGGTTAGAGACAACACCGCGGAAAAACGTCTGCGCATGCGTCAACCTTACCTGTAATCAGTATTACGAACTTGATGAGAAGCTGTTCCGAACGTTTCCGAAAGCTCAAAATGGCGGTAAAAAGGAGTGACTTCATTGTGCGTCTTTACAGTCAGATTTCGAGCGCAAAAATAAACATGTCATTCTAAAAACTAGGAATAAATACAGCCAGAAGGTTCAAGAAATTGTATTGTACAAGAACATGAACTAAAGGTGATTGTTGACAAATTTATCGTCTGAAACATTTTGTTTATCAACTAAGCAACGACGACGTTTGAGATACATTTCTTTAAAAGAAACTGTGTCGCCAAATATAAAAAAAATTCGTGTTCACAATAATTAAACTTTAGGATTTATTCTACAATTTGAGTGGGTTAAGAAGCTTAACTTTTCGAGAGTTTTCTTAACTTTTGAGTTTGAATTTTTGTTT